CGCCGCCGCCGCCGCCGCGGCCCGGCTCGCCGGTGCACATCGACTTCGAGCGGCTGGAGCTCAAGGAGCTCATCGGCGCCGGCGGCTTCGGGCAGGTGTACCGCGCCACCTGGCAGGGCCAGGAGGTGGCGGTGAAGGCGGCGCGGCGCGACCCGGAGCAGGACGCGGCGGCGGCGGCCGAGAGCGTGCGGCGGGAGGCGAGGCTCTTCGCCATGCTGCGGCACCCCAACATCATCGAGCTGCGCGGCGTGTGCCTGCAGCAGCCGCACCTCTGCCTGGTGCTCGAGTTCGCCCGCGGCGGAGCGCTCAACCGCGCGCTGGCCGCCGCCAACGCCGCCCCGGACCCGCGCGCGCCCGGTGCGCGCCGCGCGCGCCGCATCCCCCCGCACGTGCTGGTCAACTGGGCTGTGCAGATCGCGCGGGGCATGCTCTACCTGCACGAGGAGGCCGTCGTGTCCATCCTGCACCGGGACCTCAAGTCCAGCAACAGTAAGTGGGCCGGGGAGGTGGTGGGCGGGGAGGGGGGCGGGAGACGCAGCCTTGCTCGGCGGAGCCCACTGCGCGTGCCAGCCCTGGGCGGGCCCCCGGGCGTAGAACCCGGTGGAAGGAGGCTCCAGCAGCACCTCCTGAGCAGGCCTTTCGGGGCCCAGAGATCCCGCTAGACCTTGGTTACTTGCTTTGGGGCAGGTGACGCACTCACCTTGACTTCCTTCTGTTGCTTTTGGGTGCCTTTTTTAAAAAGGCAGCTCTGTCTTGCTTGATGACTAAACAGTTGTTAAATAGCTGGATCTCCTGGAAACCCCACGGTGCCGTTTGGCCTTGAGGTACAATAAGTGGCTCATTTTATGGAACTGCAAACCGGGGCCTCATAACCTGGGGAACCCATGGCCCTCCTTGTCGGCTTCATCAGACTCCTCCTTTCCTTCCGCTTTACGAGTGCTGAATTGAAGTCGCTCTTTACCACTTTGAATATGGCTTCGTGTCCTTTGACAATTTCCAAAGATTTTCGTTCAGACGTCTCTGCACAGGAAGTGGGATTTTATCATTGGTTTGGTAGCTTGAGTGTTGATGACAGGTCTCCAGAAAATAAACACCGGTTTGTGCCATCATGCACGTTTAGGCTACCAGCAAGCGCGTTGTCCTTGCACACGTACTTGAAATCCTGAAGACCTGGCCTGTGTCCTTTACTTTGTTTATAAATCAAGATGGATTTTTCTAGCTGTCCATAGAGAACTGACAAATGGGCTAAACCCGAATCCTGTGAAATTTCACCTTATAAAACTGGGAATGGGATCGCTGTTGAAACTTGGTTCTTCAGCATTGAAGATCCCTTCATATTCTTAGGATGGGATGAAATCTCGTGAAAGATTAAAGACGCAGCCAGAACTGGCATTGGCCGACCGCAGCCGCCTGTCTTTCAACCTGGTAAAACCTGCTGGGACAGGCGCTAACCCAAACGGAAACATTGTCCTTCCCCAAGTCTGCAGAAAAAAGAGTGACAGGAAGAAATGATGTTTCATATGTGTGTGTGGATTCTTTTTCCTATTCAGAATTCTTCCGCACTGAAAGTTATTTGAAAATGACGAATATCCGACTTTCATTATGGGAATCAGACTATTTAAAGTGTTGGTACCTGCAGGCAAGCATTGGATAGTTTGTTTTAGTTTGTTTTTGTTTTTTGTTTTTTTTTTTTTTTTTTAGGACTCTTGCCAACCCTGGATACAAATTATACTCTTATAATCTAGTTTGCAACTACTCAAGTGTCAGGAGCAAATTCAAACAAGATATGGCATAGAAATAATGGCAGTGGTCTTGTGTTCTGAGTTTGGACAGAGGTCACATGGAGGACCTAGGATTATTTACTTTTGGACTACATGTTACAGTAAAGACAGCACAATTTTCAATGTACTTACTTTTGTAAATGCTTCAAACCTGACAGCGTTCACTACCAGTTGGTGCTTATTTCCTGGAATATGCTTTCCTTGAAGGATAGATAGGTCTAACCTGCTGCCACAGAACAAGGTGTCTGTGCACAGTCTGTGGGTTCCTTAAGTTCTCTCCTCGGTGATGTCCTGCAAGTCCTTATCTGCTGGTTATTTTCTGCAAAACCTGGTGTTTTAAGGACAGCAAAAAAGAACATCATTGCTTGCTCTGCCTGGGCATTTGCTGCGGTTCTGTGATACACGTGGAACCTGCCATTCTACAGGCGTACTTACCCTGTTGCAGGGCGTCAGTTACCAACGCAGGCAAACAGTTTGGGTTAGGTTGATCCTTAGATCAAAAAAGTAAAGGGCCTGTAACTATTACTTTGCATTATGCTTACTTTGTCTTGTCTTGTTGTATGGTGATGATGCTTGAGGTCTTCATGAATCTGTTCTTAAAGGTAGAGTATGTTTGCTAGTATTTGTCAAAGCATAGATGGGGAGAATAATCCATGTTCCAATCACCAACCTTTTTATATGAATTAAAATCTTTCATAGAGCTAATACTATTAAGTAGTAAAAAGAAATAACATGACCCTGGAATAATAACATGGTTAAGTGGTTTTTAATGACAGCGGGGAAACTTGAACAGCGGCACATAGACACTTGAACAGCGGCACATAGACTCCTGCACAGGAGTGGATGTATCATTTGGACGTGGTTATATGCTGCAACTTAGTTTTTGAAAGCATTTTCACTCTCAGAATAAATTGCCAAACTTCCTGGAGCATTTTAATTTCTGTAACTGTCAGGCAAGGCTGTCTTTGCTTTAAATTGTTGTACTTTGAAAAAGATGTGATTGACTTGGTCGTTAGCCTAGCCAAGTACTTGTTACAGTAGGACCATTGCTATAGTTTTTAAATTACTATAATGTGGATATTTTTAATAGGTCCCAAAATGTGCAAATCACAGTGCCTAGCACATTGCCTTATCCTCACTTTCTGGTCTTATTTATTCAATGAATAAATGCAGATACTTTGGAAATTCTCTTGTGATCTGTGAAGCCATAACTTTTTTTTTTTTTAAGTTTATTTACTTTGAAAGAGAGAGAACATGAGCATAAGCAGGGTACGGGGAGAGAGAGAGAGAGAGAGAGAGAGAGAGAGAGAGAGAGAGAATCCCAAGCAGCCTCTGCACTATCAGCATGGAGCCCAGTGTGGGGCTCGAACTCACAAATCATGAGATCATGACTTGAGCCAAAACCAAGAGTTTAACTGACTGAGCCACCCAGGCACCCCTGAAGCCATAACTTCTTGTTCAGACCTTTGAATGTTCTCAAACGTGAAATTCTATTACAGTGTGTTTTGTTTGAATTTAATTGGTTATTTGCTAATGGTGGTAGTGAGTTAATGATAATGTAAACAAGGTTTTAAAAATCAATATTGAATTTTATCTTCATTCTGGAGCCTACAAAGAGCCAGTGTAAAACTACCTGGAACCAAGTTAGTTGAAATTATTGTTTAAAACAAATGTTTAAATTTGTCATAGGAAGACATGGCTTTTGTTAGGTATTTTTTATTTCCTCTTTTCTCATTGGTCTTTTTAAGTTTTATCATATATTTGAGGTGGAGTTTATGTTGAAATCCTAGCTGTGTTGTGTTGGAATCAACTGCTTTGTTCCTTTTCTAACAGCCAAAGATTTAAAGTTGAGCCAAATTTAGCACATTTTAAGCATCATTTATGTTGTTAAAACATGCTAGGCCCTGTCACTCCTGGGGTGTAAAGCGTGTAGAAAATGCCTTGCCAAGTCTGTATGCAACAACTAGAGAACAGTATGAGGCAACATGGGGTTCCTATGAACTTGGCCAGTTTTCCACCCATGCAGAGAAGGGAGAAAAATCATTGAGCGTTTATTCAATAAACCTTGGGCCCTCCCCCTCCCCTTCCCCAGTCACTACTGGGCCCTAGGGACACAGTGGCAAACCCGATGACAATATCCCTGCTGGCATAGGACGCAGCCTAGCAAGAAAGAAGGACGGTAGCCATGCAGTGGCAAATGTGAGTGAGTGTGGTCACGAGGATTAAGCATGGCGATAGCAGACAGTGATGGGGCGGAGGGGGAGGGTGTCAGTCAGACGGGTGGTCCAGGGAAGCCACCCTGAGGAGTGACACAGAGACGTATGTGAGGAGGAAGCATGAGTCAAGCAAAGATCCAGGCAAAGGGAGATTGAAGCAGCCCTGAGCCTCCCTTCTCAGGGAGAGGAGGGAAGACCGGGAGGCTGAGGCCGAGGGTCGAGCAGGGGTAGGCATGGTGGGGCTTGCGGCCGTGACCCATGGGGGGGTTCCGCTCTGAGTGCTGGCTGTCTGGAGCCTGGAAGCATTCTGTGCAGAGGAGTGGTGGGATCCGATGGTGTGTTTACAGGATGACTCTCGCTGCTGTGGAAAATGGACTTGAAATTGGCCTACGCGGAGGCTGTTGAGGTTGCTCCTGCCAAAGAAGGCATTGGTTTCACCCAATGGAAGCCGTTTTCAGGGAAGTTACCAAGGAGGAGTGGAGACAAATTAGTACAGTATGCGAATTACTGAGGATTGTTTGAATTACTAGGATTGAGTCTGTGTTTTATTTATTCTGGCGTGATTCAGGATTGAAGACAAGATTATGTGGCATAATTTATGTCTGTCGGTTCGTTTTTTAATACTGCTTACCGAGTTGTGGTGGTGGTGCTCTTAGCAGAAAACAAAGATCTCGTGAGAAACTGAGCCACAAATTTTGGTAGCTACTTGCTTTTATACTTTTCAGCGATTTTTTTTATCCTGATTTTTTTTTTTTTTTTAGCCTTCTGGGGAATCATTATTACATATATTATCTACAGTGGCATTTACATTCAATAAGTGGACATACTTAGATTTATTACCAAATGCAATTTAGAGCTCTCCCTAAAACAAACTACAAAAGGAATTTTTTTCTTTTCTTTCTTTTTTTTTTTTAGTTTTTCTTATTAGTAGTACGGTGTAAATAAAGGAATTATTTGAGAAAATTATAGGAACTGTCATCTCCAGATAAGGTGCTTAAATAGCTCATCAGAGTGATTTGGAGGAGCTATTAATTACGCTATTATCAGTTAAAAGACACGTATCTTCTTCCTTCTCTTGTCTGTTCTTTTATTCCAGACGTGTAGGTTCATGCCACAGCCTCCTTCTACTCCAAGGGGCGCAGGAAGATGAGTACAGATACCCCAATGGTGGCAAGGGCTAATCTCATTCTGAAACAAACAAAAAAAAAACCAGGTAAAGGATACATTTTTAGAAGAATAGCAATGATGAAGGGTCCCCACATCTTCCCCTACCATTTTCAGACTTGCATATTAAAAATAACTAGGCCATGGGGCGCCTGGGTGGCTCAGTCGGTTGAGCATCCGACTCCGGCTCACGTCATGATCTCACAATTCGTGAGTTCGAGCCCCGTGTCGGCCTCTGTGCTGTCAGCAACGAGCCTGGAGCCTGCTTTTGGATCCTGTGTCTCCCTCTCTCTGCCCCTTCCCCGCTCATGCTGTCTTTGTCTCTCGA